AATCGTATCCGTTCGGTAGGTCAGTTAGATGTCACCGAAACTGTATTCCAAATTCCCAAACCGAATTCCAAGAAGGCAATGGATATGCACAACACAAAACACTTTGCTCTCATTTGAGACCGGAACACATTCCAATCGAGACAGGTGGCAGGTGCAGGTCAACCGAACGGTTGCACGGATCCTTCCCCACGCCAGTGGGAGTAATTTCTGGCTGACGTAACCTAAGATCCTTTTGAAGGTATCAGGTATCATCCGCGAGCGATGAAGGTTGTTTCCGTCAGGTCAGACGCTATCGTATCATCGCCATCATCGTCGCCATCCTCATCGTCATCATCAGGCGCCATAGTCATCGCCATCGTCGTCCTGGACTAGAGCACCTCCGGGGCGCCAACGTGTCGAGCAGCGACTGTCAAACAGTCGCGAGTGACAGACTTCTGGGGAAATCTGTCGCCACAACAGAGTGAGGTCAGTGACCTGCACTCGCGTGTGTGAAGAGTTTGCACCACAGGCGTCACACCTCAACTGTGCTGTGGTCGTGTTATCGGTGTCCAACAATTCCAGAGTGCCAGCACGCCCTGTTAGGAGAGGCGTCATCCCGTGTTAGACGTCGGTGTGCTCGCACTGTACGTGCGAGATGTTCGTGTCCCATGTCATTGCCGTTGAACGGGTGGCGTCCCGAGCATGAAGTTTTCTAGCGTGCTGTGTCTGTGCACGGAGAATTATAATCACATCGCTGTACACCTTTCGTGGGAGCACAGTTGGGTTCAATGACAGGCTTTGAAACCGCAGACTTGCTTTCATCTCTTCACATATTTGGTGGGGCGCGCTAATAACGGAGCTGGCAAGCTTTCTAGTGTTCGGGGTTTGGGAGCATAATCGAACGCATTGTTGTATAAGATAGCTGCGCTAGGTGACACACACACACACGCTGCGACTTGTGTCTCCTGCAATGGTGACTGGGCTGATGGCATACGAGTAGTCTGAAGTCTGAAGTCTGCCAGCGGTCTAGAGTCCGGCTCGTTGGACCCAGCAGCATTTGAACCCCGCCGTTGCGCGTGTTGGGCCTTCATGCTCTCAACCACAGGGCCTTCACCTGCGCACGCATTCGAGTCGCTAGGAATAGCTTTTTTGAGAAGTATGGGTACTCTGGGCTAGTCCGGTTCTTTGGAATCAGTGCGAGCTCCGCTGTGGCATTTTTGTCACAGGTCATGCATGCTTATGGGGTGAACAAAGAGCTATAAGTTTGGTAGTTTTAAGCCGTTTTTGCTCTGATTGGGCCAGCAAAGCGTTACAAAAAATGGGCATTAACATCGGTATTGACGCTTGAACCAAACCTCATAGCAGTCTCATACCATGCTGATTTCATGTTTTTGCACCATATTACAGACCACGTTTGTCACTTGATCATAGCAGGCAGGCAGGCTTATCATATTGCTGAAACTGCTTCACTCTTGTTCTTATTCATTTTCGCTGAAGTGAACCGCCAGCTAGATGCTATGGTTCAAAGAGTGAAATCAGCATGGATAGCATGCCAAGCGCTTTGTTTTAAGACTTTTAGTCGATATCTATGTCCACGTTGAACGCCATGCTGACTCACTGAAAGAAAAAATGGCTTAAAACTTCAAGCCCTTTGTGTGCACACTGAACATGCATGACTTCCAAAAAATACTGCGACCGAGTTCGCCTTGAGCCAGATAGCCAGATTATCCATAAGCATCAACTCATTTTCCGAAAGGTGTTATTCTGGAGCATCCTGACGCAGATACCTACACTCCCACGCTGTGAGTGGGGTGAGCCGACAATGCGGTGACCTGCAGCGGCCAAATTTAGCACATAGCTGGATGACACAAGGCGCACGTGGTCACGTTTGGCCATAATTAATTTGTTCATAGCCATGCCTGATAATGGACTCATCATCATGACTTTTCATGGACCTTAACTCGTATGTCAGAGCACGCGGACATCATCAGCATGCCTATTTTCTTCGGGTTCGATCAGCCACAATGTTGGCGGCGCCACGCGTTACCTAGTCCTCTCACGTATTGGTTCGGGAATCTGCCAATGGCGGAATACTCTCACAGAGTGGCTATGTTAGACATACTGCTTGGTGTTCCCGAAGTTCTTTAAATTGCATGTACTCATACTCTTTTAGGAGCTTGCAGTCACGGCTTTGCCAATGCTCGTACATGCTGCGTTGCCTCCAGCGCAGTGTTTGCTCGAAGTTGAAATCGCTGAAATCGGTACTCTATGTGCATGTAGCGCACGCACATATAGCATATTGACATTTCACACCGGGCGGTCGCTTTGAAAAGTACAGGGCCGGCCGTTTGTGAGTGCCTCCGCGCTTGTCTGTGTGCCTAAGCAACCCGGCAAGCTAAGCCTTAATGGCCGAGTCAATGCCACTAGACTTTCACCGTTGAAGTGCGCCGGCTCGGCGGACAGACTGAAACGCCCCTCTCGGGCAGAGCGGCTCCTGGTGGCACGCGTCTCTCCCCCCCCCCCCCCCCTCTAGAGGTCTGCAACATTGCACTCTCACACCTGCAGGCCAAACGGGGGGGAGGGGGCACCGGTCCGCTCGCCGTTGATAACACGGTCACAGACGCGATTCAGGATACACGGGGGCCGAGGGCTCCTGTGGCGTTCGGCATGGGCGTCAGACGCGGGCTTAGCTCTGGGGCGAGCCACTTCGTGTCAGCAGCACGTCCATGTGCGATCGCCGAGCTTGGTAGGCGAGCGACGCTTTGGGAATCCGAAACAGTCAAAAGTGAGGAGGTCGCTGGCTCGACGCACGCATGAGAAGCTCGCGCACTGCCTGGTCCAAGTATCGTGCCTCGGTTCCCGCTGGCGTGTTTTTGGCCTCACAAGACAGCGGGGCGCCAGGGCAACTTAGTCAGGCGAGCCTTCTCTGGCGCGGAGTGGTAATGCGCTTGCACTGCACGTGTGAACGATACACGCCCCTATGTCATTGCCCTCGACCGGGCGATGTGGTGCTAAGTCAGTTCGGCAGACTACGTCCCTGGAGGGTTGGATCCTAGTTGAGGCGCCTGTCTCATGTAAGGTCTTTCAGGATCAGGTTCCGGAACTGCGCGTGCAGATTTACCCCACCCACTCGTCCAAGCATTGGAGAGGCTCTGCTGATAATACCGGCAGCTACGTGTGGTTGCGCTGCTTAATGACCGTAGCCGTTATCTGGGTATACACGTAAACGTGAAAAATTGGCCGCACGGCTCGCGCTGCGTGCACAATATATTTGTCCATCTCTGTCATTGCCGAACCATTTTTTCGGTACAGTCACTATTCATATACGGTGCGGTCACCACTCTGCCCATCCCGATGGTTCTGTTGGTCTGAGCACCTGCTTTCCGATCCACCCAACCGTGGCGGGGTGGATTCGAGTCGCTTTAGGCGTTCGCTCTGCCCTTGGCCGGTATGGCTCGCGGCCGGTGGCAGCAACGGTGCTAAAGGTCAGGTGACGTCGGAGGGCAGAACAAACCCGTGCCGAGCATTGCGGTACGTTGCGCTTTCGCCTCTAAATTCTGCCGCTGACATGGAATTGCGCGATCGTATGGTAGAGGCCAGAGCTCACACAACAAGCGCACAGTCAAGTGCTTGGCGTTGGCGCTAATCCCAGAAATCTACCAATCCCAAAAGGTTTAATACCCGTGAGAAAGTTCGACACCTCCTGACCTACATTGCGCCAGGAACCAATGGTACCCGCTGTACTTTAATCGTCAAAGCTCGCGTAAAATGCACGTTTGTAGCATACAAATAAGATGCCAGGCATATCCCCACAGAATGTGTGACTTCCTCACTTCACCAAAAGTTGGTGGAATCAGCCGGAGAGATGACGTGACACCGTCCTAGTTATATCGTTTCCGTCAGAGAAATAAGTCTTTGGAATTCTGTCTACAGATCTAGGGAGCATTAGAAGGCTGTTGGTGAAATCGTGACGCAAACCATGCAAAGCAGCGTATCATGACGGATTGTGACAATGTTACGCGCCTGTACTACCGTGATGTTTTAAATATTGCACATGCCTACAGTTTACACACACAGTTCAGCCCCTGCCAACCAGCGATTCGTTCACCTAACTTTATGTCAGTGATACTTGACATTCCCACCACCATAAACCACATCTCCTTCCTCAGGCCTTTAAGTGTTCTAAACCCTTTCGAACTACGGGCAAGATGTTACATGCAGCGGATGCTTCATAGCATTGATGGTCTACGTGATAACAGGTGACATTGATATTTGGTACTGCTTCGCTCGTCACATGCCTCACAGGGCGTCAGTGTGCAGCTGGCTGCGATTGAGGCCAGCAGTCTACCTGTTGGTGATCAAGGCGAAGAGAATAGCGCACACATTATCTTTGGAAGCCAGCTGTGCTGTGATGCCTTCTCATTGCCAGGTTTAAGTAACACAATCTAATGCATCAACTTTGTGGCGGCTTTCCTGGTCATCGTAAAGAAGATATGGTCGACCAAACGGCGTACAAATACAGTGCTGTAACAATCCCATTTACAGTTCGTGTGTCGTACCAAGAGCAGGTCCAAGTATTGTCACAGACCAAACAGTCGTGAAATCTCACTGGGAATATGCAAGCACAGCTATACGTGTTTTGCCTGCAAATAATGGTGAGCTGTGAGTTTCTGGCGCTTGGATGGAGGGCTGCGAGGGTGAGGCTCTGTTGAACTTCGAGGAAATCCAAATTAGATGATAAGGAGGTAAAGAACAGTCGATAACTTGCCTTACACAACCATGCACACTTTTGAGCAAGTGTATGGTCAAATTGCAAAAAAGAAAAACGCATCAACACATGATCGATTTCGGAGCACAAGAGACTCCCAAACACCATTTGATCGCTATGTGGAAGACGATCTATAGCAAAGTTTTATTGATGGCATCGCAACAAGGACACCTAGACGGTACAAAATCACGCCAAATCACAACTAACAAACTACACTGGCACCAAAACCACCGTGCAAACCCCGTCGGCTTACCTTTGAGGTAGCGACCGTTGCTGAGGAAACCCAGCCGATGCCCGGAAGCCCGTGACAAACCTGTCTCAGCTGCCGCCCCGTCACTGTTGCCCGTGCCGTGTGGTGACTCGCTGCACGACAGTACGACAATTACCACCTGGCGCGCGTGGCTCGCGGCGTCAAATGGCTGGCGGTCGTCGGCCGGCCGGGCGGCGCATATTTCATTAACCCAGATCTGCCAGGGATCCATCTGGGTGGGTGCCGGACCTTGCCGAGCATTGTTCGCGCGGTCGCTTTGTTGACCGGGCGACGAGGCGTGACAGGGCTCGACCGCCGCACACTCGGCCGCCGGCGCCGGTCCCGGCAGCGGGCGCCGCGTCGCCGCCGCCGCCGCCGGGCCAAAAGGCGGCCGGCGGGCGGGGCGCCGGCCGTCACGGCCGGCGCGGCCGCGCCCCCTGCAAGCTTTGTCCGAGCGAGCTACTTGGTGGGAAAGCTGACGCGGCTCGGTGGCACTCTTTGAGCGGCAGTGGGGCGTGTCTCCGACGAACTCCAGAGGAGGGGAGGCGCCCGGCCGGCCGCTGCGCCCCACCTCGCCTCCCCGCTGCGGACACTCGCCGCCCCTCGATGGCTGAAGCGGAACTGCTCCGGCTGTACGACGCGGGCGGGCGCGTGTATTGCATTGTCGTGTCGTGTATTGCACTCTATGAAGACGCACCGATTTCGTGACGGTCGAGCTTAGGATGATGGCATTTGTTGGTTTTGTGAAGAATACCAACACAGGCTACTTTCCATCGAAAGCGGTGTTGCTATAACTTAATATAACATGCTGTGGTTTTTGGCTGTTACGCCTCATAGAAAATGTAGAATGCGGATAACTGATATTGCCTTGCATTAGATTACATTGTGTTGTGTTGAACTTAAGAACTCATCTACACATAGGGGTGTTCTTAAAAACGAGCCAGTGGTCTGTGAGAGACACACGGACAACACAGATTCCAGGCACTTGGACCTAATCGCTTAACTTATCACCCGTAACAAAGTGTCGCAGCCATAATTGTGAAAAGAAGCTGTGGCAAGCCATTGTAAAGGTGCCGCTTGTGTGCCCTCTGGCCTTAAGGCATACTGTTTTCGATGTCTGCACAGCTCGATACTGTGACCGCATTTTACCTAGCTCTGAGCGCATCCGGCGCAGGCTAAGCTTAGCATCCTGCCGCGTGGTGCGTTCCCTCGAGGCGCAGATTAGTCAGTTGGTCGATCATTATTTGGGCATATCAGATACCTAGTTTTCAGATTCAGTCCTGCATTTGTCGTTACAGGTACCAACAAATGCCAATGCAATGTGGTAATACCTCTCAGGAGACAGACCCACATCGTTTATAATAGTGGCGTGTCTGTTCAGAAGCTTGAGTTTGGCATGGCTGTGACCAATGACGCCATCCGTGCGATGGGCTGAGAGATGTTCTATGGGTGGCTCAACGGGCTGAGAGCTGTTCTGTGGGCGGCTCGATGGGCTGAGAGCTGTTCTGTGGGCGGCTCGATGGGCTGAGAGATGTTCTGTGGACGGCTCGAACAAGGCAATGCGACCGATCACCAGAACCAAACTTGTAAGTCATTCGCTCCCGTGAATGGTAATGTTTTTGACTTATAACGAGACCGTGGTGGATGGGACGGCATTTTGGTAGCGTCTGTCGCGTGCCTACAGCAGGCAGCTGAGCGTGCTTGGCTTGCTCCGGTAAAAATACTATGATGAAGCAATAGTCGTAGATAAAAAACATATACCTCTGATGGCGATGCAAATACAAAACGGGAGCGGCGTGGCCAGTGACGCCCCAAGAGTGATCTTCTGATTTCGGCCGGTGTTGCATTTAGGTGCTGTTTATGAATACTGTAATACATGCGAATTGACAAACAAAATCAACAAGTTAAAAATGCCATGAAAATCATGACACCTACACTTACATGCTTTATTCGGGGTGTCACAAAAAGGGGCCAAATCCTGAAAGGCAATGAAAAAAGGGGCCGCATCGTGAAAGGCAATGACTCAAGTAACTCTCATCGTAAAACATGGCATCAGGGCTCAAATGTAACCTGATTTATGGGTAATTTTTCCCACAACAGAAGGTCGCAGACAATGCACATACACCGAACTGCAGCACATGGTTCTACTGTGCTCCTCACATGCAGTACAGAGATTAGTCCACCGCAGTATCTGTCTCATGACTTGTAGGCTTTTGAATGGCTCAGCTTTCTTGGATTCCGGGACATAATTTAGCGTCACAGTTTTACGTGACATATGTTGTTCGTACGCAAAACTTGGCACACAAACATTTCCATCGCATATGTTCGCATAGTATTTCTTCGTACGCATATCTACGTATGAGCATCTCTTCGTAAACGCAAATGTTCGTAGGGACCGATTTTCTTGGCGCCAAGCTTTGCATCCGCAAATCTTACCACACGCAATTCTTCTCATATCATTCTTCAAATACACATTTGTTTGCATCGCATGTCCTCATTAACGGAATTGGTCACATCACATTTATTCGTACACGCCATTCTTGTCATCGCATTTCTTCGCTTGTGCATGTCGTGGCGCTGTGTTTCTTCGCATATGCAGCTCTCTCTACCGAATTTCTTTGTAGATGCAACTATTTGCTTATCATTTCATTTCGTACATCCTGTTCTTCCCATCGCAAATAGTTGAATTTGCATTTCTTTGGTCGGAGGAGGATGTGTCTGATTAGGTAATGGGAAAATTAGTGCATGAGTCTTGTGTGATTCTCAAATTTGCAGCTATAAGATTGGGTAAGATAACCGTCACTGCCTTCTAGGATTGAAAACGTGCATTTAAATAACTGCAAATGCGGTAACCGAATGTTTGCGTGTTTTCGTTTTCTTAAGTGCAAGCTTAAACATTTGTGACCGATAATCCCAAGCCTTGTTTCACCAACTGAGCTGCAAGAACGGAGGACAGATTTCATATGAGAGGCAGATCTTGCATCAGCTACGCAGTGATGTGTAGACAGAGCAATTTAACATATGTGTTAGGGCAGCCACATATAGTTCTTACAGATAGGGCTAGGAGATCATGACTAGGGAACAGGAGAATAAAGGAAATGACAAGAATGGACAACGGACCAATAGGGAAAATCATCAGATATGTTATCTCTGCCTTTTAGACCATGTTCAGACAACAAGAACTGCTATGTTTGAACTACATTTGATGGCATTATGAAGCCTGACACACGCACATAAGAGTATTGTGAAGTGCAGCACATTAGTCAATAACACGGCTCGCTCCATGCCGCGTGGCGGCTCACGAACCTTTTTACCTTCGCCCTGCTGCCCGCCACCTCCTCTTTAATGGTAGCCAGAACCAGAATAGTACGGCCTTCCATCTGTTGCCAGGCGCGGTCTCTCCATGCACATCTTGTTTGACCATGCCACGACAATCCTCGATTGACTCCAACTCAGGCGCATTTGGGAGAAATGCTGCGTGTCCCACGCGAGGGACTTCCGCCTTGTCCATGGGCCTGAGCGCCTCACTGCATAATAAACGGCTGCTAAGCCCGGCCCGGGAGACAAATCTACTATCGCAGTGCGTGAATATGCACGAACAATGTACAGCTCTGGCGGACTAGACAGTAATCCCTGCTGTTTATACTGCTGGACGTGGAGGGCCTCGGTCACACCTGTTACGCTCGAACATGTTACCGGCCGGGATATCTCTCTCGGGGAAAGAGCCACCCATACGAGAAGCTTTCGTGGTACCTTAGAACAAATAACTCACACATTCGCTCCACTTTTTCAGTTTTATTTTATCCTGGCCTGCTGACGACCGTCAGCAGGCCAGACCAAGTGCATTAGCGTTTGCAACTAAATCAGAAATTTGCATCGCACCCGATCGACCAATACGGTGCAGGAATCGGCTGCGCCCGCATACATTACGCTGCGGTATTCCATTTAGATAGGGTACCGAAAGGCGTATGCGGAAAGCAGCGCACTTAAGTACATTTAGATCCGTTGGAGCCGACTTCAAAATATCCTAAGAGAAGGGATCAGGTTCTCGATTAGCACAACTGGTGGCATTGATTGCACAACCGGGTGATGGTGAGTTTGAGCGCACAGTAACACACAGATGGCAGAATTCACGTCGGCGTTCCAGCTATGTTGTGTTTATCTGACCGCTTAGGAGAAGTGCGGTATAACAGTCATGGCAAATAATTTCATTTCATGGGTCTTAAAGTAATTCCCATCTGCCTGACAAGGTAGACTTTGGTGGGACAGCGGTTCGTCAGCTGGAATGCGGCTGTCGAAAATGTTGGCATTATCGGCAGGCAGGGTCCAGCCGGATTCAATAACGCGTTGCGGGGCCGTTCTGAGCAATAAGAAGAAGAGCGGAGACAAAGGAATGCTGCCGTCCAAAGGCAAAAAGGCTTAAGTGCTATGTTAACTAATGGCTTTCAGGCCTTTTTGCCTTCGGACGGCAGAATATAAATTCGCAACAATACAACTCAGACAGTTTCGATCGGTTTTTCTTTCGGTAATAATTACTTAGTTATCTAATCAAGTCATTATCAACGACAGCTAAAGAGGAGCTGACCAGCAAGAGACTGCGACAAGTGTACGTCTTGCTACGGGCCCTCCCTGTTTGTCGCTGTGCGGAAGCCGGCCGGGTCCGTGTCCCCTGCGCTCCCCCCAATAATAGGATCGCGACCCAGAAGGCCGGATCACCGCCGACCCCAGAAAAACACCACTCCATCCCGGAACACCGCAGTGGGACCCCAGCTGTGAGGCCGGCGCCGCACCGCTCCGCCGCAGCGGCACGTTAGCCGTGACCTCCGCCATCCGCGATAACCGCACCAGATCGGCCGCCGACACCATGGTGCACCCGCTGCAGGAGCCGCAGGCGGTGGCCGTCAACCTGGAGTTCTCGCTGCCGGTGGACCTGGCGCATCTGCGTGACGGGCCCCTGCTGCGAGCGCCGCTCGCCTTCGTGGCGCCGCTGGCGCTCGGGATGCTGATCGTAGCCAAGGCGTTCGCGGCGGCCGCGCCGCTCCGCAGCTCTTCGGTAAGCGCCCGGCGGCCGCTGCCGGCCGCCCTCCGGCCGGCTGGTGGGCCGGGCTCGCCGCCGGGCTCCCCCCCCCCCCCGGGCCATGCCGGAT